CACTGCGGGATGAGGCCGGCCGTCTCCGAAGCCCTGAGCCTGGGGCACGCCCGCTCCCGGGGGTGAGTCAGGGAGAGTGGAGTGGGGGATGTGGGCAGCCCTGGCTGAGATTTTCTTTGCCAGAGCTGCTGCTCCTGTTTTCTCCACCGGTGGGCTGCAAGGTTGAGTGCTGAGAGGCCTTCCTGGGGAGGATCGGGCAGAGGCTGCTTTCCTTAGGCTTAGGGAAGAAGGGCTTGTGTACTCATGGGGGGCCGGCCAGAGGGGCTGCAGCTGGTGCTGGAATCTTGCTTTGCAAAGGAGGTTGTGGAAGGACTTTTTGAGTCTTGATTTCTCCTCATTGAAAGTGCACCCCACCCCCAATTGGCAGGTGAAGACCACTCCTCCAGGCAGCATTTCTCCTGGCTGTCAGCCAGGTGTTGCCCAAGGCTTGTAAACATGACCATGGGACCGTTGACTGAGTGCTCATTGCAAACCAGGCGCCATGCTGACCGCTTGGTTTGAATGATCTCATTTAATCCTCTCAGCCCCATTCAGCAGGAAGGATCACTCTTTCAGGATGAGGCTCCTGAGGCCCAGAGTAGTTAGGTGGTTGCTCAAGGTCGCACAGCTAGAATCCAAACCCAGTCTTTTCTGTTGCCAGAGAAGGGCTGTCAGGTGCTGGGCAGTGCTGACTCTCATTCTGGATTGAGTCCCATCCCAATTGACTCTAAGCATTGATTCTTTGTCTCTGTTTGTCCCCCCCTGATTCCCAGGGACTCCTTGGCTGGGCCCAGAAAGATCTGCAGAGTGAATTTGGGATTGCACCAGACCCACATTCCAGCAGTTTAACTCCATCCAGCTGGGCACAAGGTGCTTCTCCGGACTATGGCCTTGGGGGCGGAAGCCCAAGAGGAGACTCAGGTCTGGGAGAGGGGGACTGGGCCAGCAAGTATGGGCAGGGAACAGGGGAAGGGAGTGCTAGGGAGTGGGCCAGCAGGGGTGGCATTGGCCCAGAGGAGACAGAGGCCAGCAGCAGCCAACATCAGGCTGAAGCGTCTGCCCTGGGCGGGCTCGTAGCCCAGGACTGGGTAGTTGGGAAGCCAGATCAGCCAGGTACTCCACGGAACCTGGAGGCCGACACGCACGACTGGGAATTCAGCAAGAGGGATGCCCAGGGCACTTACTCCAGCCGGGACGCTGAACTCCAAGACCAGGAATTTGGAAAGAGAGATTCGCTGGGTACCTACAGCAGTCAAGATGTCAGCGTTCGAGACTGGGACTTCGGGAAGAGAGATTCTCTGGGCGCTTATGCCAGCCAGGATGCAGACAAGCAGGGCCAGGAATTAGGGAAGGAGGACAGCTTTGGCGGGTACGGCAGCCAGGATGCCAATGAGCAGGACTGTGAGTTTGAGAAGAGAGAGTCTTCACTCAGCACATACGGCGGCCGAGGTGCAGAGCAGCTGGACCAGGAGTTCGGGACCAGTGCTTGGATGAGAGATTACAGCGGTGGCGGCAGCTCCGGGACCCTCAGCACCCAGGACAGAGGTTTTGGAACTCGAGCCCTGAGCTCTGGGTTCAGCCCCGAGGAAGCTCAACAACAGGATGAGGAATTCGAGAAGAAGATTCCCAGTGGTGAAGACAGCCTTGGTGAGGCCAGCAGGGATGTGGGCCAGCCAGAACAGAGAGACCTGGGGGGCCTGTTCAGTGCCAGCACTGCCCAGTTGCAGGATGGAGCATCCAGGCAGAGAGACCAGGACAAATGGCAAGGCAGGGATGCCAGCCAGGAGGCTGGAGGATGGCAGGAAAGACAGCAGGCAGGGGGCCAGAGTCCTAGCAGTGCTGACCCAGAGGACGCGGAGATGGGGAAGCCAGGCTGGGCTGGTGAGTTCCGCCTTGGTGTTGCCTCCCAGCCAGAGGGGGCACTAAGCCCAGGGCAGCAGGCCTGGAGTGGGGACTTCTGTGTTGAGGACCCTGGGAGGAGCTATCAGTTTGGTGTCATTGGCAACAACAGAGTGAGCGGCGCTGACCTGAGTCCTTCTGGCACGATGGGAGGTGGTCACTTTGTATCTCCTGGGAAGACTGCAGCCGGGTCTGTGGACTGGACTGACCAGCTGGGTCTCAGGAACTTGGAAGTGTCCAGCTGTGTGGGTTCTGGGGGCTCGAGTGAGGCCCAGGAGCATGCCATGGGACACGTGGGCTGGTCAGACAACCTGAGTTTGAGGGACATGGGCCTGTCCAGCCATTTGGAAACGGGGGGCTCTGAAGAGCCCAGGGGCATTGGAGTTGGGGAGAAGGACTGGACTTCTGATGTTGGGGTGAGGAACAGAGATTTGGCTGGGGCGGGGGAGGTGGGAAGCCAAAGCCAGGCCAGAGAGAGTGGTGTGGGACAGACAGACTGGTCAGGTGTGGAGGCCGGAGAATTCCTTAAGTCAAGGGAGCGTGGGGTTGGACAGGCAGACTGGACACCTGACCTCGGGCTAAGAAACATGGTCCCGGGCGCAGGCTGCAGCCCTGCAGAGCCCCGAGAGCTTGTGGTGGGCCAGATGGACTGGGGCAGTGGTCTAGGCCTGGGGAGTTTGGAGGCGCCCTGTGACCTACAGCCTGGAGGCTCTCTGGAGCCACGGGGATGTGGTGTGGGGCAGATGGATTGGGGCCAGGACATGGGGCTCCGGAACGTGGAGCTCCCAGGGGCCCCAAGCGAAGCCAGGGAACATGGGGTGGGTGAGGCCGGCCAGAGCCCAAAGCCAGGCCTCAGGAACAATGGCAGCTTGTCCCCTGGCCTGGAGGCCAGAGACCCTTTGGAGGCCAGGGAGCTGGGGGTGGGTGAGACAAGTGGGTCCGAGACTCAGGGTGAAGACAGCTCCTTGCCTTCCTTGGAGACCCGCCCTGAAGACTCTGGAATGGAGACAGGAGAAGCCCTCAGCTTTGGAGCCAGGTAAGGAATCCTCATCTCTGTGTGGGAGGGAAAGTGTATCACCTGTCTGAAGAAGTGGAACCTCTCTGAGCGGGGAGACATAGCTTTTCCTAAGGACTTTTAGTATTTGGAAAATGGAGACATTTTGGACTGCAAAGTTTTATTTCTATTTATGTTTTTCAAATAGAAATATGATACACAGCTGAGTTTCTTTTTTTTTTGGAGAGGTTTTTGCTATAGGGCACGTGCGTTCGCCAGAAAGACAGAGACAGAGAGATACGGGATCTTGGGCACGCACGCACACATGCCCAGCGTGAGTTTTAAGCGGCCGGGTCCAGGATGCGAACCGCGGTTGACTACGTGGGAGTGCAGGGACATAGCCATTACGCTAACTGCCTGTCCCTCCTTTTTTTTTTTTAAATTTATTTCTTCTGAGAGTGAGACAACACCCCCCCAACAGGGTCTTAATGCCACGATCCACCCTCAGCAATTGTTTTTTTGAAGGATGACTGTGACTTTTGAGGTGTGTCTATTGCAACCACGTTTTAGACTTTCTTGGCAATTTCGAATTGTGCCTGTGCAGGGGGAACAGTGTATGTCATGTCTTGGGTGGTGTGTGGTGTGTTCTGCACACAGACCTGCACCCACAGGAATGCAGGTGCGTTCACAGGTGTGCAGAGGACTGTGCCTTGTTGGCCTGGGCTCCTGGAGCCAGGGGTGGAGTGCTCATCGGTCTTGAAGAGACTAGGAACGGGCTGCTTCCGTCTTCCTTGTCTAGAGCCTGGATGAGAAACCGTTTAAGAATCCAAAGGGCCTTGGAACCTGGTTCCTGGCCCCGTGGCCTAGGTCTTGGCCTCCTTATGCAAAACTGCTGAAAGAGAACCTTGCACTGGAACAGTCCTGTAGTTGTATCTGCCTGCCACAGCCTGTCTAATGGATGTTCTAAAACCAACTGCGGTGATTTCATAGCTGCAAAGGGTGCTAAGAGGACCTTGCATCTATTTTGCTAACATTCCTATCCATCGAGATTGGGTTTCATTCTCCTTTAGAATAAGAAGACATTTTACCTATTCCAGTCCCAACGTGAGACCATTGTCCCTGGGCCTTTGGGGAAAGGAAGGGAGGTGTTGGGTGGGACTGTCGTAAGTGAAAGGGGTTGATGGTAGTGGGAGGCAAACAGGAGAAGCCAGGAAGGGGCTGGGGAAGCTCCTGGGGTGTTATGGGGGAGCCCCTCAGGAGAGGCATTTGGGATGGAGGAGGAGGGAGAAGAAGGTGTGTTGAGCATGGAGCCAGGAAGATGCCTGGGGGAGCTGAGGAGGGGGAGCTTCCTGGTGAATCTGCCTGTTGAGGAGGAGATGGAGGAGGCTGTGAGGAAGACTAGGAGATTGGGAGAAGGTGCAGAACTAAGTCTGGAGGCTTCGTTAATTCTGACAGGGTTGCTGGACTCAGGAAAACCAGAGTTTCCCAGTTAACAGTCGGGGGGGCAGGGGAGTGTAGGCTTGGCCTGGTTGCTCTCATTTCTCTTCTCGGGACTCAACGCTGCACACCCCAGGGCTCAGCGGCTCATCTTACCTTGTTGATCTTCACAGCTGCCCTGTGAAGCAGGAAAAGGATTTTTAGCCTCCCTGTTGGCAAGCGGAGCAGCGGTGTGACCTGCTTAAGGTCACACTGTCAGCAGTACCTCGCTCCAACTTGGGGACTGCTTTCAGCTGTGGCCGCTGCGTTTGATACTCTCAGACTTCAAGGAGTGGGACCCTCAGCTCTCACCTTCCCTTCTGATGAGGCCAACTGAGGGGCCGTTGAGAAAGGGAAGATGCCTCTTCCCCCTTGTTTAGGACGGAGGGAGGAGGCTGCCAGCAGGCTGATAGAAGCCGGGCAGAAGGGGCAGGGATGATGGTGGAACTGGGTTAAGGGGAGAGGAGAGGAGAGGCAGAGAAGCAGGGGAGCTGAGGCGCTGAGGCGGCGCTCGCCTGTCGAAGCTCTGGCCTCGCGTCCGAGGCACTCAGGTGTTTCTGGCTGTGCTGCTGTGGTCTGGCCTGTGCTGACCATACAGGTGAGCCTCACTACGTACGAGAGGAAGCCACCTCCTCCCAAGCTGAGAGGAAAGCTGCTGTGAAGGGCTCATTTGGGTTTGGTTGCTTCCAAGCAGCCTTTTCTGAAGTGTGTTCTGAAGAATACCAGTCTGTCCGTGTCTGTGGAGAACGCGGCACTCTGGCTACGTGACAGACAACTTACTTGACTCACTGACCTCCAAGGAGGTAGTGTTCTGAGCACCTGAGACAGGGGGAGTCTACGCTATGGGAAGTTTGTCCTTACAGAACGTTTTGGAGGGTTAGCCTTGTAGTGCAGTGGGCAGCCATTCTGCACTGGGAGCCACATCCCACATGACCGAGTTCGGGTCTCAGTCCCGATGGCTTGAGAAACACGCATGCTCCAAATCCTGATGGGATGGAGAAATGGAGGGACACGAATTGTGGCACAGTCATGTCCACTGGGGAGAGCTATTTCTCTTTCTTTTTCTGGTGGGTGCATGTACCCTCTGGCAATTTGAAAAAAAAAAAAAAAGAAAAAAAGAAAAGAAAAATCTGGAGGGTTTTTTTTTTTTTTTTTTTAATATTAAAAAGTCCTTGAGAAGAGCTCACAGTAGTCTGGCTTTGGGCCCTCTTACCAGGTTTGGGTCCTGATTCTGTTACTACCTCTGACCTGAGCACATTCCTTATCTTCTCAGGGCTTCTTATTCTTTTTTTTGGAGAGGTTTTTGCTATAAGGGCACGTGCACTCGCCAGAGAGACAGAGAGACAGAAAGTGAGAAATCACCCCCCAAGGGTGATGACCACACCTCAATTCCTCCATTCTCCTCTCGGGATTTTGGGCACACACGCCCGGCATGAGTTTTAAGCCACCGGGTCCGGGACTCGAACTGTGGTCGACTACATGGGAGTCCAGCGACATAGCCATTAGGCTAACTGCTGGTCCCAGGACTACTACTTCTTCATCTGTGAATTGGGAGTAATTTACCCCCAGTCCTCTCTTGGGGTGTTTGTGATGACTAAGAGTTAATACATGGAAAGTGATAGATACAAACCTGCCTGGCATTTGTTAACTGCTGAATACATGTTCCCTCTGTTTGTACCTGGGGTGTTTGTCTGGCAAGTTTAGATCTGAAGTGTCCATAAAGGGTCCATCGGCTGGGGGCCTGTCCCGCGACAGACCCAGCATGGAGGTCGGTGAGGTGTGGGCAGACTGTGGGAGAGCCTGTGCCCCTCCTCTGTGTCTAGGGCCATCTTGTTCTGATGGAAGTGGTGCTCCTGGGTGCTCCTGGGAGCTGGTGCATGGTCTCTTCTCCGGCCTTCAGATCATCTTTAGCCTGTGCCCTGGGCTGCAGTGATGTAGGAGCCTCTTATTTTGAGGTCATCATAGAAATCCAAAAGGGCCCTTGGCAATCACTGGGTCCAGCTCCTTTTTTTTTTTTTTTCCTTGCCTTAGGGTGCTTGTGCTTGCAAGAGAGAGAGACAGACAGACAGACAGAAGGTGCGAAATCATCCCCCAGGGGAGATGGTCATGCTGGAATTTCTTCTCCATTCTCCTAGGATCTTGGGCACGCACACACATGCCCAGTGTGTTTCTCAAGCCACCGGGTCCAAGACTCGAACTGTGGCCGGCCATGTAGGAGTTCAGTGACATAACTGCTGTGCCATTTGCTGGCCCCAAGTCCATCTTCTTCATTTCATGGGTGGGGAAAACTGAGGCCCAGAGAGGGCGTGTGACTTGCACAGGGTCCCGTGCCTTATGATCGTGAGTCCCTTCAGTTCCTGTCTTGCAGTCCTCTCTGGACACCCTGCTTGTCTCCCCGGGTCAAGGCCCACAGCTGCTCTGTCAGACACATCGTCCCAGCCCCAGTTCTTCTTTTCATGTGTTGGAGTCTTGAACTCTAAGAGGCTGACTTATTGCAGCTCCATGTCTGCACCTGGAGATGTGATGGAGGGTGGGGTTGGAGAGAGTCCCGGCCCTGAGGTGCTTGTAAGCCTAGACTGGGTGAAGGGTATTGATGGTATAAGATGAGACATGTCCTCTCATGGAGAACTGCGTTGAGGAGGGTCATTATCCTCACAGTTCATCCTATTAAGTGCCAGCTCACTGTGTGCTAGTCACGTAATCCTGTCAGTAAGCCCAGCACAGTTTAGGTGCTTTTATTATCCCCATTTTATAGGTGAAGAAACTGAGGCTCGGAGGGGGCAAGTACTTTGGCCAGGGCTGCTGGCACAGTAGGTGGTGGAGCCCAGATGAGACCCGGAGCGGCAGGGCTCAGCACCCATGTTCCTCACCACCCCTCTCTCCTGCTTCCCTGCCAGGAGGGACTCAGGGAAGCCTCTCCTGACACGGGGCCGAAGCACGTCGCGTTCTCAAGGGCACGTTCTACTCTCTTGTGTCCGCTCCATGTGCTCTGTCCCCTAGAGCCCACCTAGCCCCCTCTGCTGATTTCTGGCCTCAGGGCGTGGGCCAGCTCTTGCTGTGGAGTGGATCTTCCGTCCACCCCTGGGATGTTTCACATCCCCTTAGCTCTTGGGGCCTCAGCTTTCTCTCTGCCCCACCCCAGGGAGAGGCTTTGGGCATGGCCTCTTCAGGGCGGGTGGGGTGCTATGCCACCCCTTCGCTTCCTCCTGGTTTTGTGCTGCCGTCAGGGAGAGCTGGCTTTGGCCCCCATCCAGGGCTGCTCCTTGCTGTACTTCTGCCACCGCCTCCTCTTCAGACCGTTTTAATTTCCATCTGTCAGCAGCTCCTGGAAGGACAGACCGAAGTAAGCTGTCTCCCTCCCTGCCCCCTCCTGCTTGGTATTGACTCACCTGCCTCCTCTTCTCCCTCTCTAATCCCGGCGGGACTATGCGGCTTGGCTTCCAGGCATGGCCCTCGGGGCTCCCAG